CCGCTGCAAGTCTACCCTCTCCTTGCTTAGCGCGTCCTTACCTGCCGCCACCCCCGCTGCAGATTGCTCTCCTTCTCGTTCCCCCGCGCTTCCCCCTAGCCCGCCCTCATCAAGATATGCAGACAGTTGCACAACAGCCTACAGTCCTTTCAGCCTCTCCTCGATGCATGTTGTTCCCTAAGCACTCGTTCATGCCACCCCTATCTTTCACCTCGACCAGTACTGCTGCATGCCTTACACCCTGCATCATTTATGCAAGCTATCTACTCATTGCGGAAGGCCGCTTTCTGAGGTTCAACTCCTCCGTTGAGTGCCGCATGCATACCAAACCCTCGTAGATTGCCCGATGTCCCACCAGCAAGCACCTGCCTTGCATGAGCCACGTGTTGCCAGCCATGTGGCAAAAACGTTTGCCCCTGCGGCAAGCCCATCCACCTTGTTACAAGCCCTCCCCAGGTGTACGCAGGTGTACGCAGGTGCGACACAGCCCCGGGTGTTGCAAGCCCTGCCTGCAACCCCCCCCCCCTCCTCCAGCCGCAAGTTGCAGCCTGGTGTGTGCGCCCAAGTCGTGTCTGAGCATATCAACATTCAATGTTGTTAGAAAGAGTCTCGTTTAATTGCGATTCGTGGTGTACACACCAGGCTGCATCTCGCGGCTGGAGGGGGGGGGGGCTTCGCCCCCCCCCTAACCCCCCCCTCCTTTTCTCGCGTCCAACTTACACTCGCAGCCCGGCGCCATTCTTGGGTCTCTGCTTGTTACCAAACGTTTCCATATGTTTCCGTTCCAAGTTGCAGCCTGGTGCGTGCACCCAAGTCGTGTGTGAGCTTGTCGCCAACCGTTTCGCTATGACGTACCAGCCACACGCACGCACGCTCAAGCACCACCTTCTCTCTTGCCAATAACATGGGCTGCGCACGTAAGTCGGACGATAGAAGAGGGGGGGGGAGGGGTAGGGGGGGGGGGCGAAGCCCCCCCCTCCAGCCGCAAGTTGCAGCCTGGTGTGTGCGCCCAAGTCGTGTGTGAGCTCGTCGCCAACCATTTCGCTATGACGTACCAGCCACACGCACGCACGCGCAAGCACCACCTTCTCTCTTGCCAATAACCTGGGCTGCGCACGTAAGTCGGACGATAGAAGGGGGGGGGGTAGGGGGGGGGGGGGGGGGGCGAAGCCCCCCCCCCCCCCCCTCCAGCCGCAATTTGCAGCCTGGTGCGTGCGCCCAAGTTGTATATGAGCTCGTCGCCAACTGTTTCGCTATGACGTACCAGCCACACGCACGCACGCTCAAGCACAACCTTCTCTCTTGCCAATAACCTGGGCTGCGCACGTAAGTCGGACGCTAGAAGAGGGGGGGGGGGGTTAGGGGGGGGGGCGAAGCCCCCCCCTCCAGCCGCAAGTTGCAGCCTGGTGCGTGCGCCCAAGTCGTGTGTGAGCTCGTCGCCAACCGTTTCGCTATGACGTACCAGCCACACGCACGCACGCGCAAGCACCACCTTCTCTCTTGCCAATAACCTGGGCTGCGCACGTAAGTCGGACGATAGAAGGGGGGGGGGGGTTAGGGGGGGGGGCGAAGCCCCCCCCCTCCAGCCGCAAGTTGCAGCCTGGTGCGTGCGCCCAAGTCGTGTGTGAGCTCGTCGCCAACCATTTCGCTATGACGTACCAGCCACACGCACGCACGCGCAAGCACCACCTTCTCTCTTGCCAATAACCTGGGCTGCGCACGTAAGTCGGACGATAGAAGAGGGGGGGGGGGTTAGGGGGGGGGCGAAGCCCCCCCCTCCAGCCGCAAGTTGCAGCCTGGTGCGTGCGCCCAAGTTGTATATGAGCTCGTCGCCAACTGTTTCGCTATGACGTACCAGCCACACGCACGCACGCTCAAGCACCACCTTCTCTCTTGCCAATAACCTGGGCTGCGCACGTAAGTCGGACGCTAGAAGAGGGGGGGGGGGGTTAGGGGGGGGGGCGAAGCCCCCCCCTCCAGCCGCAAGTTGCAGCCTGGTGCGTGCGCCCAAGTCGTGTGTGAGCTCGTCGCCAACCGTTTCGCTATGACATACCAGCCACACGCACGCACGCGCAAGCACCACCTTCTCTGCTGCCAATAACCTGGGCTGCGCGTGTAAGTCGTACGCTAGAAGGGGGGGGGGTTAGGGGGGGGGCGAAGCCCCCCCCTCCAGCCGCAAGTTGCAGCCTGGTGCGTGCGCCCAAGTCGTGTGTGAGCTCGTCGCCAACCATTTCGCTATGACGTACCAGCCACACGCACGCACGCGCAAGCACCACCTTCTCTCTTGTCAATAACCTGGGCTGCGCGTGTAAGTTGGACGCTAGAAGGGGGGGGGGTTAGGGGGGGGGCGAAGCCCCCCCCTCCAGCCGCAAGTTGCAGCCTGGTGCGTGCGCCCAAGTCGTGTGTGAGCTTGTCGCCAACCGTTTCGCTATGACGTACCAGCCACACGCACGCACGCTCAAGCACCACCTTCTCTCTTGCCAATAACCTGGGCTGCGCACGTAAGTCGGACGATAGAAGAAGGGGGGGGGGAGGGGTTAGGGGGGGGGGCGAAGCCCCCCCCTCCAGCCGCACGTCGCAGCCTGGCGCGTGCGCCCAAGTCGTGTATGAGTTTGTCGCCAACCATTTCGCTATGACGTACCAGCCGCACGCACGCACGCTAAAGCACCATCGTCTCTCAATAACCTGGGCTGCGCACGTTGCACCATCGTCTCAGCCGGGCTGCGCACGTCAGTTGGACCGTAGAATGGGGGGGGGTTAGGGGGGGGGCGAAGCCCCCCCCCTCCAGCCGCACGTCGCAGCCTGACTTGCAAGCCACACTCGTGTCTGAGCATTTCAACATTCATTGTTGATATAAAGAGTTGCGCTGAAGTGCGATGCGTGGCGATTAGGCCAAAAACACGAAAACCAAAAAATGACAATTTGCCAGCCGCAAGTTGCAGCCTGGTGCGTGCGCCCAAGTCGTGTGTGAGCTTGTCGCCAACCGTTTCGCTATGACGTACCAGCCACACGCACGCACGCTCAAGCACCACCTTCTCTCTTGTCAATAACCTGGGCTGCGCGTGTAAGTCGGACGCTAGAAGAGGGGGGGGGGTTAGGGGGGGGGCGAAGCCCCCCCTTCCCCCCCTCCAGCCGCAAGTTGCAGCCTGGTGCGTGCACCCAAGTCGTGTGTGAGCTCGTCGCCAACCGTTTTGCTATGACGTACCAGCCACACGCACGCACGCTCAAGCACCACCTTCTCTTTTGCCAATAACCTGGGCTGCGCACGTAAGTCGGACGATAGAAGGGGGGGGGGGGGTTAGGGGGGGGGCGAAGCCCCCCCTTTCCAGCCGCAAGTTGCAGCCTGGTGTGTGCGCCCAAGTCGTGTGTGAGCTCGTCGCCAACCGTTTCGCTATGACGTACCAGCCACACGCACGCACGCGCAATCACCATCTTCTCTCTTGCCAATAACCTGGGCTGCGCACGTAAGTTGGACGCTAGAAGGGGGGGGGGGGGGGTTGGGGGGGGGCGAAGCCCCCCCCCTCCAGCCACAAGTTGCAGCCTGACTTGCAAGCCACACTCGTGTCTGAGCATTTCAACATTCATTGTTGATATAAAGAGTCGCGCTGAAGTGCGATTCGTGGCGATTTGGCCAAAAACACGAAAACCAAAAAATGACAATTTGCAGTCGATGGGGTTCGAACCCGGGTTGCCCGCGCCAATCGCGATTTTTTGGAGCACTATACTCGCTATGCACGTTGCCAAAAAAATGTTACACGAACCCCCCCCCCCCTCCCTATTTACCCCTTTCCTACGCTAACTTCGCTAGCTCCGGACTCCGTCTACGACGTCGCCCTACGACGTCGCTACATTGCTCCGGCGACCCCCCCCCTCTCTATTGGGCCCTTTCCTACGCTAACTTCGCTAGCTCCGGACTCCGTCTACGACGTCGCCCTACGACGTCGCTACATTGCTCCGGAGACATTGCTCCGGCGACAAGCGTAAGAGGCCGCGGCCCAGGGTTTGTATGAAAGCTTAGATATTAAAGTAACAACAATATGAAAGGGTTATTAGTTGGTAAGTTTTACGGGTCTGGCCTGCTGGTGAGGTGAGTGTGCATGTCATGGCTGGGATATCCAGGATCACGCCATGCTTGCTCTCCATCCAATCCATGCCAAGTATATATGGCATCAACGCCTGGTAATAACGTAGGCATTACCAAGGCCTTGATTGTGTCAAAGTAGCGTTGGATATGGATTGGTATCCGGACGTGCCCTAGCATGGGTACTTGCCGGTTATCTGCTACCTCCACATTCAATGCGTAGCTAGATCCCACCGTGTCTGTACTGCACTGTCGTGTCATTCACATTGTAACGATAAGAATGTCTGGCTCCCCTGACTGCGCCTTAAGTGCCAGTAGTGCGATTTGCCATCTGGAACCAACTAGCGACCTCTCTGGTCTAGACTCTCATTTTAGGTAGCGCTTAGCATAGATGTCCGCCGAGGACGCTGCGCGCGCATACATGGTGATGGACGCCGGTAGTGAAAGGGACTTACCTCACATTGTTGATGGCAACCGCCTCCCTCCATCCCCCTCATGTTGAGGAAGCAGACTGGCGGACATTGCGGCCGGATATCCTCTAGCCCATAGCAGCAGGTGCAAGCGACCCAGGGACCCCGCTGCATACGGTATCTACATCCTAGAAAAAACACATGTGACTTCCACCATGCTGAAAAGCAGCATCAGAAAGCTGAGCAGCACGGTATCTACATTCTCGTTACTTTGATGCCTGGGGCTGGACACTTGCATTTGCATAGGATATACACTCAGCAATATTTTTGGAGCATCCAAAATAACATACAATTTGTGATTATTTCAGCCCTTTATACAATCTCTGATGGGAACTCTTGTACAGCCTTTCACATCGTAGCCTTGCACCAACACCCTTTCCTACCCAATTCCCTTGCTTTTGGCACATGGAAGTACCATGTACACTACATTACTAAGCTTTGAAGAGATGGGCTGGAATGCGCAAATGTAATGGCGGTTTAGAATGCTTAGGATACTTTGCCGGGGTGTCACTTAGGGTGTTCCCTTGCTTCCCTGGCTTGGGCCTCGCGTAGCGCGAGGAACCATGGGCGGGCCAAACATCACCCACGCCCTATAAAGGAGGGTAGCAACCATGTAGGACACTACGCCTCTCTAGCTCAGTGGTAGAGCGCAAGGCTTTTAAGAAAGCAGATCGCAAACAGAATGCAACCTTGTGGTCGTGGGTTCGACCCCCACGAGAGGCGCTTTTGCACACTACTATGGTGTCTGCGATTACAATTTACGATTTTTGTAGTCCAGGGGTAAGATAGAAAGTGTGCAGCAATGTGATGCACCCTGCCCCAAATGCTTTATTAATTACGATGGGATTCCTAAATGCTTTCAGATATGTAACTGGAGTTGCACTGAAACATTATGTGCCGGCATGCATGTCCCAGTCGCATTTTCCTTTAATTTCCAGGCATGTTATTCTGCACCTTATACCTGGCAAGTGGAAGGAAGACACACACACATATATATATGTATATATGTTTATATATATGTATATCATTCATGCTGTATGTTTGCCGGCGGCAATAATGTGCTTATGAAAGACCCTAACTAGCCTGACGTACACAGTATGCATCGTGCGAGACCCTTTCTTAGCAAAACACGACGTAAATATACCATAAATGACTGTATAAACACCATGTCTTATTGCCAGCATCCAGTGTTAGATATGGGTGGGGCAACCAAGAGGGAGAAGAGTCAAGCATGCAGGTGCAGGGGTGTGCACGAACGGAGTAGCGGGCCTCTCATACGACGAGTTCGTTAGTTTGTTAAGATGCCTTCCGGCTTCTCCACCTGGAGCACTGAACTTTTCTGTGGCGGTAAGGGGTAGCGAGCGCCCTATGTATGTAATCTACCTCGAGTAATTCCTTCGGGCCTACACTCAGGGCATAACGGAAAATATTCCTCTGCATCCGGGAACGGCTGTTGACCTTGGGTTTCCCGGCAACGGGTCCGCCGACCCGGCGCCTTCGTGGGGGCTGGACTTTCCCGTTCTGGGACCGGGCTTGCAGCCTGTTACGGAGGTCGGTAGGCCTTTGGCATACTGTTTCAGGTTCGGCCTGTGCTGCGGGCCTTTCTTACTCGTTGCAGCGCTGCGCAGGTGTATCCCGGGGCAGTGCTCGACTACCCTGGGGCCGTCATGTCGGAAGACGCATTACTTGGGCGGCTGGGTCGAGGAGCTGCTGCGTGTCCACTGGGATTGCTGGGCCCACTGTCGGCCCCCGCCGTAAGCCCGGGGTTTTCCCCCCTGCACCCTTTTCCTGACGTCTTAGCATGCTGTTTGGCAAAAAACAGGTCAGAACCCCTCCCCGCCTGCCTAGCCTAATTCCTCTTGCTTGGCACGGGTAAAACCAAAACTTTGACAGAAGCAGGGTTCGAACCTGCGCCCTTTCGGACTGCGGGGTTTATGAACCTAAACACAGCGCCTTAGACCACTCGGCCATTCTGCCATGTCAGAAAGCGGCCATATGTTTCTTACATATCCAAAACTTAAGTTAACATGGCGGGGCACGCCTGGGGGGGGCCGTCGCAACTTGTGTGGGGCGTGGTGTAGAGTTTGGGTGTGATTTGGGTTTTGCGTGTTTCGTCCCTTGTTTGGTTTCCTTTGGGCATGTGTTCGATGAAGCGATTACTGTGGGAGTGCTTGCATGCATGCGTGCCTGAGTTGCACATGGGGTGAGGGGCGCGTAAAGCTGGAGTGCATGCATGCGTGTGCGGGTTGCACGGGACGAGGGGGCGAGTAAAGCGGGGGTGCTTGCATTCGTGTGTGGGTTGCAGGTTGTGAGGCGGTGAGTAAAGTTGTGGGGCTTGAAGGCGTGCATGTATGGGTTGCATGGGGTGTGCGTGTGTGGGTTGCTCGGGACGAGGGGGCACGTGAAGCAGGATGCATGGGGCGAGTAATGTGGGAGTGCTAATGCGTTCGGCTGCATGTGTCGAGAGGGCGCTTGAAGCGGGAATGTTGAGCGTGTGTGGGCCGCACGGGATGAGGGGGCATGTACTGTCAGAGTGCTGGCATGCGTGTGTGCGTGGGATGCATGGGGTGAATAGGCGAGTAAAGCGTGCATGCGTGTGGGGGCTACAAGGGGACGTGTAATGTGGGAGTGCTTGCATGCATGCGTGTCTGAGTTGCATGGGGCGAGGGGGCACTTGAAGAGGGGGTGCGTGCAAGCGTTCGTGGGTTGCACGGGACGAGGGGGCGAGTATTGTGAGAGTGCTGGCTTGCGCACGTGCGTGGGTTGCATGGGGTGAAAAGATGTGTGAGCGGGAGTGCGTGCATGCGTGTGGGGGCTACAAGGGGCGCGGGGACGTGTAATGTGGGAGTGCTTCCATGCGTTTGGGTTTGAATTGCATGGGGCAATGGGGCGACTAATGTAGGAGTGCTTGCATGCATGCGTGTCTGAGTTGCATGGGGTGATGGGGTGTGTGAAGCAGGATTGCGTGCATGTGTATGCAGGTTGCACGGGGCAAGGGGACGATTATTGTTGGAGTGCTTGCATGCCTTCGTGCTCGGGTTGCATTGAGTGAGGGGACGAGTTGAGCGAGCGTGCTTGCATGCGTGTGTGGGCGGATTGGGGCGAGAGGGCGCTTTAAGCTGGAATGTGTGTGTGGGCTACAGGTGGTGAGGGGGTGAGTAAAGCGGGCTTGCTTTCATGTGTTGAGAAAACTGGCCGCGAGTAGGAACGTGCTTGCATGGGTGCGTATGTTGGTTGCATGGGGTGAGGGGGCGAGTACGGGGGTACTTGCATGCATGTGTGGGCTGCATGGGGAGGGAGGTGGGTAAAGTAAGAATGCGTGCATGTGTGTGTGTGTGGGGGGGGGGGGTTGCATCGGTTGAGGAGACCAGTTAGCTGGGGTGCTGTCCCGAGCACGACGTCCCTCTCAATCACCCTGCCACTCGCTGTCCCTAATCTACAAGGCGCTCCTGATGGATAGGGCCCTCCTTCGGACGCGGCCAGCAATAAACAAGATGCTGCACCGCAGAAGGGTGCGAGGGCTGCGACACCAGCATGCTCACCTCGGGGCTGGGGCTCCTGCTGGGGGACCTGTGGTCGGCGCCTCTTCGCTCGGTTCCACTGCCGCCCGGCTTGCTTGGCAGCGCGAAGGGAGGCCTGCATGTATGGAAGCAGAGTGCGGGAATGGGCGGGGGAGAGGGGTGGAGGCCGGGGCGGGGCGGCAGCGTTTGTAAATGGCAAAGTAAGTGCGTGTTGGAGCGGGGAGGGGCGCACACTGATGGATAGGACACTCCTTCGGCCGCGGCCAGCAATAAACAAGATGCTGCACCGCAGAAGGGTGCGAGGGCTGCGACACCAGCATGCTCACCTCGGGGCTGGGGCTCCTAGCCTGCTGGGGGACCTGTGGTCGGCGCCGCTCTGTTTGGTTCGCTGCCGCCCGGCTTGCTTGGCAGCGCGAAGGGAGGCCTGCATGCATGGAAGCGGAGTGCGGGAATGGGCGGGGGAGAGGGGCGGAGGCTGGGGCGGGGTGGCAGCGTTTGTAAATGGCAAAGTAAGCGCGTGTTGGAGCGGGGAGGGGCGCACACTGATGGATAGGACCCTCCTTCGGCCGCGGCCAGCAATAAACAAGATGCTGCACCGCAGAAGGGTGCAATGGCTGTGACACCAGCATGCTCACCTCGGGGCTGGGGCTCCTAGCCTGCTGGGGGACCTGTGGTCGGCGCCTCTTTGCTCGGTTCCACTGCTGCCCGGCTCGGCAGCGCGAAGGGAGGTCTGCATGCATGGAAGCGGATTGAGGGAATGGGCGGGGGAGAGGGGTGGAGGCCGGGGCGGGGCGGCAGCGTTTGTAAATGGCAAAGTAAGCGCGTGTTGGAGCGGGGAGGGGCGCACACTGATGGATTGGACACTCCTTCGGCCGCGGCCAGCAATAAACAAGATGCTGCACCGCAGAAGGGTGCGAGGGCTGCGACACCAGCATGCTCACCTCGGGGCTGGGGCTCCTAGCCTGCTGGGGGACCTGTGGTCGGCGCCGCTCTGTTTGGTTCGCTGCCGCCCGGCTTGCTTGGCAGCGCGAAGGGAGGCCTGCATGCATGGAAGCGGAGTGCGGGAATGGGCGGGGGAGAGGGGCGGAGGCTGGGGCGGGGTGGCAGCGTTTGTAAATGGCAAAGTAAGCGCGTGTTGGAGCGGGGAGGGGCGCACACTGATGGATAGGACCCTCCTTCGGCCGCGGCCAGCAATAAACAAGATGCTGCACCGCAGAAGGGTGCAATGGCTGTGACACCAGCATGCTCACCTCGGGGCTGGGGCTCCTAGCCTGCTGGGGGACCTGTGGTCGGCGCCTCTTTGCTCGGTTCCACTGCTGCCCGGCTCGGCAGCGCGAAGGGAGGTCTGCATGCATGGAAGCGGATTGAGGGAATGGGCGGGGGAGAGGGGTGGAGGCCGGGGCGGGGCGGCAGCGTTTGTAAATGGCAAAGTAAGCGCGTGTTGGAGCGGGGAGGGGCGCACACTGATGGATAGGACACTCCTTCGGCCGCGGCCAGCAATAAACAAGATGCTGCACCGCAGAAGGGTGCGAGGGCTGCGACACCAGCATGCTCACCTCAGAGCTGGGGATCCTGCTGGGGGACCCGTGGTCGGCGCCGCTCCGTTTGGTTCCGCTGCCGCCCGGCTCGGCAGCGCGAAGGGAGGCCTGCATGCATGGAAGGGGAGTGCGGGAATGGGTGGGGGAGAGGGGCGGAGGCAGGGGCTGCTTCACCAGCGGAAATGCATTCACCCCCAATGTGACCAGGGAATCCTCATTGGGCTCCATATCCCATAAGCTTATATCTATATCTTCCTGCAAGGTTTGAAGTATCAATAGCCTCAATGGCGAAACAACACTTGTAACGGTCTTGATCTGGTAGGCTACATGCACTGGCATCTTAGCTCGAGTAGAGGACGCATGCTTACCTCCAGCATTACCCCATTTGAGAGTGTAGTACCCGTAGCCACGTCGACCGTGCCATGGCACATGTTTCCAGACCTCCAGTCGGTCCCAACGGCGGAGGTAGGCGCGTCCTAAGGGGGCGTGTAAAGGGGCGTACCTAGGTACCCATGCCTACAGTGGGTGGAAGGGATACGTTACAATGCATGCTCACCTGGTGGGCTGGGCTCGTGCATTGCTGTGAGTTTGCTGCTGCATGCAGACTGGGCAAGGTGTTGTTTGCGAGGAGGGTGCAGTTGCTGCGCCATGCATGCTGCTGGATGCACCACCCAATGTTTGCGCCCGAAGCGCCAGTGAAACCGTGGGAGTGAAGCGTCTGGTCTGGACACTACTGGCAGCCTGAGCTGTGTCGCTGCCTGCTGCGAGCACACCCTCCAGGTCCTGAAAGCAAGCATACAGCTTAAGCATACACCCTTGAACCGAGTGCCCTGGCTGCAACGTTTGCAAAGGTATTCTTAGCTCACCTTCTTCTTCTTGAGCCAGGGCTTCTGCAACCAGAAATAGTCGCCTACAGCGCCTATCTCGTGGCCCTTAGGCCTTGTCAGCTCTACAAGGTAACTAACAAAGAGGAGCTGAGCTGCTGGGGCGCGCTTCTCCTTCTCCTCCAAGTAGTTACCCACAAACACGTCACCGCCCTTGTGAAGAAACGACCTGAACGAGCTCAGAGAGCTGACGTGGGATCCTAGGAGCCCCAACAAGGAGCATTCCTGTAAAGCATGACGGGAGGAGCTTAGCAGACAGGACACACCCAGTGCTGCATTCCAGCAGACAGCTTGCCTTGTCGTCCACTGTTTTCAATTTCATGTTGTATAGGGCGCTCGGACTGGCATCGTCAGGAACATTTGCCTGCCAGCCATCGAATTGGAGCGTCGCTCCCCTCCTCTGAAGCGAGATAACAGCTACTGTGCGATATAGCTCAACACAGACCAAGCTTTTTTCCCTCGTATACTGTATCAGCGTCGCCTGAGCCCTAGAAGCGGCATTGCGAAAACGAGTAACACACGATTCGAACGATGAAGACTGAATATCAACTAAGTAAGATATGTAAAGTTCTTCTATTAGTTGCTTGCGTATATTACATGTCAACGTATCAGGGGTTCATTCTTTGTCGTTCGAATCAGAGGACACTGCATGAAGTTAACGTCCTGAGGCAACACACGATGTATGAAATTGGCAGAACTCTTAGATGCTTTTTTGGTGGAAGGCTCAATACGGCAGGTTGAGCTTGTACGGCGTAACTCGGGTGACGCAGTACAGGACTTTTCAAATGCAAGAACTAGAGGCTAGAGTATGCAATAAAAGCATTTCAACCTCGACTATAGATACTTCTTTCGTTGACGAATTCATGTAGTATGTCCAAATGCCGCGGCGCTTAGGTCAGACATGGGCATTGCCTGCCACAAGTGGGCCCGCCACTTCCGCTTGGCAGGCTTGGCTGCTGGCAGGCCTTGTGGTTTCCTGATATTTGCAGTAACAAGTAATGCAAATGCGGTAGCCGTGACAACTAAGTATTGCTTGTGTAAATGGAGTGGTCGATCGAAAGGCCGTGAAGCTCAGGTCAAACAGAATGGTTCGTAACCACCTCAAGAGAAATGGTTGCTACGATCCACGTTACAAAAGGATGGAAAGCAGCACCTCGGCTGAAGAGGTCCGAGCCCGTTGTTTTCAAATTTGTCATGGTAAGTACCAAACAACACCAGCATGCAACTTGCTATCGTTTCTTACATGCTTGCTCGCTCATTTGGCAAATGCGGTGGCCCAACATCTTCACGTAGACACTGCCATTGACTCCTTTGGCTCGCCCTGTCCTTATATTGGCTAGATATACTTGTATCCATGTGCATGTGACTCAATTATGACTTTCTAAATCAACAATGTATGTAAATATTCTCAGACCCAAGCTGGGCTTACAACTTAGGCTGCAACTTGCGGCTGGAGGGGGGGGGCTGCGCCCCCCCCCCCCCCCCCCCCCCCTCCTTAGCGTCCAGCGTAATCGTGCAGCTGGCGACAAGCTAAGACCAGCCGCAGCCCGGCTTATTGGCCAACGAAAGGCTAATGTTGTAGCGTGCGTGCGGCTGGCTCGTTATCGCGCATCAGTTGGTGACAAGCAAAGACCCAAGCTGGGCTTACAACGTAGGCTGCAACTTGCGGCTGGAGGGGGGGGGGGACGTTGCAGCCTGGTGTGTGCGCCCAACTCGTGTATGAGCTTGTCGCCAACTAATTCACTATGACGTACAAGCCGCACGCACGCACGCTAAAGCACCATCTTCTCTCTTGCCAATAAGCTGGGCTGCGCACGTAAGTTGGGCGCTAGAAGGGGGGGGGGGGTTAGGGGGGGCGAAGCCCCCCCCCCCCTCCAGCCGCACGTTGCAGCCTGGTGTGTGCGCCCATCTCGTGTCTGAGCATATTAACATACAATGTTGATGTAAAGAGTCGATAACGTAATTTGATAACGTAATTTGGTCGTTTGCGGCACGTATGGCAGTCAGTGTGAGACATCGTTGTCAATGCTGGACTGCAAGCAGAAGTGTGAATGCCGTACCAGAAAAGCGACATCAGACGTCGTCTTTTTGAAGGGCATCATTTGCCGAGTTATGTTAACAGCACAACCAGCTATGATACTCCTGCGAGTGTTTTTGTTACCTTCAAGGCTGTGGTAAAGCAAGGAGCGCATTCCTTTTTCCTTACACCCTTGCACTACTTAAGCCCACAACCTCAGGCATATCGTGTATCGTGTATCGTGATATTGTCCAGCCACCCCAACAATCAGAGAACTGAGAAGGGTGCACGCAACAGTCGGAAACTTGCGGCTGGGGGGGGGGGGGCTTTTTACCCCCCCATACCCCCCCCCGGGCCCTTCACTGTCCTTTGCTTGTTGCCATTTCATTCGCTATGACGTACAAGCCGCACGCAGAATGGGCGAGTAGTGTGGCATTGCTTGCATGCATGCGTGTCTGAGTTGCATGGTGCGAGGGGGCGCTTGAGGCGGGTGTGCGTGCATGCGTGTGTGGGTTGCACGGGACGAGGGGGCGTGTACTGTGAGAGTGCTGGCATGTGCGCGTGCGTAAGTTGCATGAGGCAAAGGGGCGTGTAAAGCGGGGGTGCCTGCATGCGTGTGGGACTAAATGGGGCGAGAGGGCGCTATAAGCTGGAATGTGGGCATGTGTGTGTGTGGGTTGCAGGTGGTGAGGGGGTGAGTAAAGCGGGCTTGCTTGCATGTGTTGAGAAAACTGGCCGCGAGTAGGAACGTGCTTGCATGGGTGCGTATGTTGGTTGCATGGGGTGAGGGGGCGAGTACGGGGGTACTTGCATGCGTGTGGGAGCTGCATGGGGAAGGGGGGGGGGGGGTAAAGCAAGAATGTGTGCATGTGTGGGGGGGTTGCATCGGTTGAGGAGCCCAGTTAGCTGGGGTGCTGTCCCGCGCACGACGTCCCTCTTAATCACCCTGCCGCTCACAGCCCTTTCCTCGATGTCCCTAATCTAT